AGGTGGAAGACTGTCTCCTGTTTGGGATCCCAGTAGATTCCATCACTCAGAGCCTTCCCTCTTAATTTACATGTGACTATCTTCAGCAGGTCCATCTTGATTGGCTGCTCGATGAACACCACGTAGTTCTCAGACATGGCTGGAAGCAGGAAGAAAAAGATTACCAAGCTTTGCAGATGAGGGCAGCAAATGGAAAAAAAAACCAAGCATAATGAGTGGTACCCTGGTGTGCTCCCTTACCAAAGCTGTGGTAGTAGGAGGGATGGGACTTGTTTGCAGGCACAATAGAACAGAGGATTTTGGCTCCTTGCAGAGTGTCTTCGCTTTCCGTCTTCTCAGGAGGTACTCTGATGATATTGTAGAGGACTCCTGGAAGGAGAAGTGTTTTACAAAACATTGTTCCATCCATTTTACATCCATCCTCTTCAGCTTATCTAATTCAGAGTTGCTGAGGAAGGGGGAGCTGGAGCCTATCCCAGCTGTCATGTGTGAGAGGCAGGGTACGCCCTGTACCGTTTGCCAGTCTGTTGCAAGGATAACAGAGACAGACAACTAGTGATATCTATGGCCAATTTAGAATCAACCTAATTAACCCAACCCAGTTAATCTAATGTGCATGTCCGTGGACTCTGGGAGGAAGCTGGAATGCCTGGAGAGGCAGAGATGACGCACTTTTCACATAAAGACCTGAGTCGGCCAGTGGATTTGAATCCAGACACTTGCTGTGATTTGACACTGCTAACTGCTGCACCTCCTTCCCTCCAACAAAGTACAGTTCATTTCTTTTCTTTTTTTTTAATCAAGATAAAAATAAATAAAAATAAATAAATGAATGAATAAATTTTAAAAAGCCATGTAACTGTGCAGACTTTAGTGTGGATACTTGACTCAGGGAACAAACCTCTTCTTCCATAGGAGTTGCCCATGTTGTAGGTGGTACCATCTGGATCATAGTGGGGGTGAGCAGTGGCTCCATTTACTGCAATGAACTTACTCCAGTCCACCTGCAAAACAACAGAATGATAAGGATGTATACTGTGTTTATACCGGACTACACAATGACAAAGAAATGCGTTTACTGCACATAACAAATGACATTACCTTCTCTAAACTTTCTAGGGTCTCTGGGTTCACTCTGTGCATGAAGTTTGTCTCTGTGCTGACATAGTAGTCCCCTTTGTATTTCACAAAGCTCACACTTGCATTGTCTGTGGGTTCTGTAGCAAAGACAAACAAAGGATGACATGTTTTTTTTTTAGGACTGAAAGCTTTTCTCCTTTTAAAGAAATTGGTCTGCTATACGATTTACAGTTTGTAGTTATACTGGAGGGTCCAGTGGGAATGTAAAACATTTTGTGCTCCCCCTGGTTCCCCACTGTAAAGCCTTGTTATGTAACTTGGGTATATACAGAACACTTAAGAAGCTCCATCCCAGGAGGATTTAGCAAAGCAAAGGTAGCATAAACTTGATTTTATCTCTAGCTGTCGTGGATTTTTTCTTAACTGCAGCAGAAAACGTGCTTTTTGATCCATTATGCACATATACTTCATCCCACTGTCTTATTTACTCACCAAACTTCTCAAAGCGAGAAAGGAATCGCTGGAAGAAGTTTTTGCAGGGGTCGGGCATGGCAAGCGTGCCAAACTCAGACATTACGATCCGGTCCCGCTCGCTGTTCTTTTTGAAGGTATCACTCTGCAGGAACCGACTCATGTACGTCACCTCACCTCTCTCAATCTTGAACTGGTGCAGCATGGCCATCCCATCAAACCAATGGTTGTAGCTGTCATGAAACACAGATGTTAAGGCTCGACTCCATTGTTATAGAAATGTTCATTTTGTGCTTTGCAGCAGGTCTTTATAACTCACTGTGTTTTTCCAAACTCAAACTTCCCAGGGCCATTGCGGAGGAGTTTGCCATTGATCCAGGAGGGAATGGTTCCCTCTAATTTGGTAGCTACTGGCTCAGGGGTCTCTTCAACAGAGCGGACCAGGGCAGCAATTGTCTCCAGCCCCTTCAGTCCCTTGCCATTGTGGGAATTTTTTGCCTGATCTGAACCCAAATGAAAGAATGGACAGAAATTACCTTTCTTTAGTGCAACTTTTGCTTTACACTTCTTACAGTTGGACAATATTTCCCTTTTACTTAGTAACTGCTGTAAACAACAGTTCTGGCAACCCAAGTATAAACTTTACTTTTATGGTGAAACTGTCAGTTCTGCATGCAGCTCAATAAATTAAGAAAAAATAAGGATTGAAAACAAACACTCAGAGTCTGTGCCACATTAGAGCTCTTTAGTTGCCCAAGCTTTGCTTCTGAGCAGAGTTTAATCACATTTGGCCAAGTAAGTTTTACGTAACACTGCTGAAATGCAGACAGAAGGACAAACAAACAGCATCTCGGGGATATAAAAAAAATAAATAAAAATGAAATAAACGCCTCCCCAACTATCACCTTGATTAAGAAACATTTAAAACCTGCCATTACTTTTTCAAGTGTTCATTTACTTGTCTTTAAAAGGTCATTCGTTTAAGTGTCACAGCTACTAAAATATAAAGTATAAAATAACCAGTGACATTGAAATCTGCTGTTCTAATTTAGGGTGGTCCTTTGTTTCAGAAAAGCTACAATAAACAGCTCAGAGCCTGCTGAGATCTTTTAGAGAGACCCCCGTTTAACCACCGCTTCAGATCCTCAGTGAAAAAGTCACCAACTGCTTCTCTGACTCCAGTGTTAAAGAGGCATGACTTAAATTATTCACAACAGTCAGCTGTACTGTTACCATTCACCCCTGCCACCACTGACAGGGAAGGGCTTCATTTTTACAAAAGCAAAAGCACATGATTGTTTAAACAACACTATATTCTGGAGATCCACTCAGAGAAATTACAACGCACAAAAGTTTAATTTCTGGAGTTTGAGACAATGACAAACATGTCGCTTTAAGCTTGTTTATCCGAATACACCCAGTGCTGTACTACAGGGGGGTGACAAATTAAAGAAAAACCTTGAATAAATCGGCGTTGAAACGATTAGTTTGATGTGGAGGGAAATTTTCTGCTATAAGTTATGGCTAATTATATTTGGCCTACAGCAGACGGGCTGTTACAAAATCCCCATAAACATGGCGGCTGTGCTGTAAACAGCTAAACAGCAGATAACCAAGTCTCTGATTACAGCCTCAGTTCTACTCTGTTTTCTGGTAGTGTAATGCCTGCCGAGTTTTTCATATCCACCGGCCTGTGAAATTAAATCCACTCATACCAACGTGAGGCTGAAAGGGTCCTCTTAATTGTTGTGACACGTGTAAGGAATGCAGAGAGGTGCGCTCGATTTGCCACACGGAGCAGCGCGAGAGTAAAGCACGAGGGAGGGGCTAATAATCG